CGGAAGCTTCGATGTAAAATTCGATGAGTATTACATACGTAACACTGCTCCTTCATGTGAAATGAAAGCAATTCTGGAAAGTGATATCCCAGCCTCTTCGGGTCCCTTGAACATAGTTGAAATAAAATATGATGACATGTTTGACCCTTCAGAGACTGCTCATCTCTCTGAAATTCTTGTGTCCCCGGAAGCCCAACAACAACATGCCGAAGTCTCTGGTCCAACTCTATCTGAAGACCTCTGCAGTCTCAACACTTCCACCTCGTCGGTTGAGGGGGAAAGTTCAACTCAGGCTCATGTGACAACCATCGAGGTTCCCATGCGTGAAGAAGTAGCTTTGGTATCTACCCACAGAGTCTAAAACCCATCAAATGTCTCCTCAGACTCTGACGATGACGGTATAGTGAACATCGATACAAGAACTGATTCAAGGATTATCACTCGCTCTTCAATCCAGGAGGAACCGTCTCAAGTTCAGGAGGAACTCTCATCTGCAACCCAGGGGGAACTCCCATATGCAATCCAGGGGGAACCTCACTTCAATGATGATCAAACTCCATTAGTCCAAGACACTTCTGTGGGTTGTTCACAAGTCGAGGGGGAAATGCCTTCCCCAACTGAGGAGTCTCCTGATATCGAAGACATTCCCTCCACCGCAGCTTCTGATCATCTACAACCTCGTCTACATGTATGGACGAAGAACCACCCACCGGGTCAAATCATAGGAAACCCATCCGCATGTATCCAAACTCGATCCTCTAAAGATCTAACTGATCATTGTCATTATGCAGCGTTCATGTCATCAATCGAACCTCGCACCATAAAAGAAGCTCTCATGGAACTTGACTGGATAGCCACAATGCAAAAGGAATTTGCAGAGTTCAAAAGAAACAAAGTGTGGCAACTAGTACTGAAGCCAACAGGTTACACTATTATTGGAACAAGATGGGTGTACAAAAACAAATTGGATGAATTTGGTGTTGTCGTGCGAAACAAAGCAAGATTAGTTGCTAAGGGGTATAGTCAATTGGAAGGTGTTGACTATGATGAAACATATGCCCCGGTAGCCTGGATGGAAGCAATACGCATCTTCTTAGCGTATGTGGCACACAAAAATATCAAACTACATCAAATTGATGTAAAAAGTGCCTTCCTGAATGGAGAACTGAAAGAAGAAGTCTACTTACAACAACCTCCAGGCTTCGAAAGTCAAGATTTCCCAGATTATTGTTACAAGCTCGAGAAAGTAGTCTATGGTCTTAAGCAAGCACCGACGGCGTGGTACGAGACTCTGTCCGAGTTTCTTGTCACATCCGGATACAAAAGAGGTGTGATTGACATCTCATTATTTAGAAAGGCAAACGGTAATCACCTTATGCTTGTCTAAATCTATGTGGATGATATCATATTTGGGTCAACAGATCAGCACTACTAGAAAAATAGCCTCTTACGACACGCAATTAATGACACACACTGATAGAGGACAAGCATTTGTGTGTGCCCTAAAAATTACTGTCAGAAAAGAAAAACAAAAGAAATACGGAGGGCACCTATCAAAAAATGTGTGTCATGTAAGTGTGTCGCTTTATATTTTTTTAAGGAAACACACGTTTTAGGGGGAAAAATGAAATCCAAAAAATTAACCCCCACCTATTCATCCCAAAAATTCCCCGCCTCTTCGAATTAGCAAGAAAAAACCTAGGGCCTTCGTCTTCATCCACAGCTTCCTCAATTCCTCGATTCATCTAGGAGTTGTTCAGTTGTTCATCGGGGCCACACGACTTCCCAGAATAAGTCGTTGGATCAGGATCTGCTTAAGCGGTAATCACCGGTTAGGAATTGGATGATTTCGGTTGCTGATAGAGAAGAGCACGCTTTTCCGATTGGGATTTCTGGGCGGTTGTGGATGGCTTCGTTTTGCTTGGTCGGCTCTATGCTGCTTCTCGTTAAATCTTGCTTTCCATTTCCTATTGACATGGCATCAACAAAGGCTTCATCCCAATTAAACTTCTTAATCAGAACACTTATTGTTCTAGTGATAGTCTTCCATCTCCAAATAACCTACAAATTTGCAACCAAAAGCGTTACAACATCAAAACACGTATTGCAGATCCTGCTTCTTTGGACCGTAATGATTGAGCGTCGCCGATCTCTTCCAGGAGTTTCTTTTTGACAACGATGGCATCAGTCAGGTACTTTACATGTTAACAGATTTCTAGGGCTTATGTATGTTTTAGTTTCTATGAAACTTCCCCAAATTAATCTAGAGAAACTTCTAAAGTTTATGATTTGTTTGGTAATCTGCAGTGATTAGGTTAATTTACTAATAGTTTTGATTAAGTTTTTTTTATCATCCTGTCCAGGTCCCTTCTCTACTGTGTTCATGTGAGTCTTATACTCGATAAATAAATATGTAATAAAGAGGAAACTAAACGAAAAAAATTCTTTTGGTTTCTGCATATATTTCCAGTAGAGCTCAATTTATGGATTTTATTTGCACTTTCTGCATATATTTCCAGTAGAGCTCAATCCATGGTAAAAGCTATTTCATTTCAACTTTTACCCTCGTGAATGAAAATGAGAATGTTGATTGATTCGTCAATGGATTCCGCTACAAAGTTCATGTCTAAATATATTCTTGGATCCTTAATGACAATCACAGAAACAATGCATTTCAGATGTTTTACAGAATTATTTAAAGAGTAATGATTACGAAACAGCTGCTTATTTATGAAAATCACCATTATGCCCTTGTCTCTTTCGTCTTCTTAATGTCCTTCATCTTCCTCCAGAAGAAACCTGAGACCAAACAAAATCCCCAAAAGTCAAATTAAAAAAAAAGAACATAACCAAAACAAAAAACAAATATTGGGATCTGTTAGTGAACAAGAAGTAGTACTTAACCAACAGTTTACAATCTGTCAGATTCCCATTCTCTTAGATTTTGATTCCTTTGAAAAATTCCAATTCCTTCCAAAACATTATGGAAACCAAATGTCCCGTTAGTATCATATACTTAGCAAACAAATATGTACAAAAAAGGAAAATAAATGAAAAACAAAAGGTTGGAAGGTTTAAACTTGTATAAGATACAAATTTGACAACAATTTATACCTCTGACCCTTGATTTTTTTTAGGCTTTTGCAGTTTAGGTACTTTACATGTTAACAGATTTCTAGGGCTTATGTATGTTTTAGTTTCTATGAAACTTCCCCAAATTAATCTAGAGAAACTTCTAAAGTTTATGATTTGTTTGGTAATCTGCAGTGATTAGGTTAATTTACTAATAGTTTTGATTAAGTTTTTTTTATCATCATGTCCAGGTCCCTTCTCTACTGTGTTCATGTGAGTCTTATACTCGATAAATAAATATGTAATAAAGAGGAAACTAAACGAAAAAAATTCTTTTGGTTTCTGCATATATTTCCAGTAGAGATCAATTTATGGATTTTATTTGCACTTTCTGCATATATTTCCAGTAGAGCTCAATCCATGGTAAAAGCTATTTCATTTCAACTTTTACCCTCGTGAATGAAAATGAGAATGTTGATTGATTCGTCAATGGATTCCACTACAAAGTTCATGTCTAAATATATTCTTGGATCCTTAATGACAATCACATAAACAATGCATTTCAGATGTTTTACAGAATTATTTAAAGAGTAATGATTATGAAACAGCTGCTTATTTATGAAAATCACCATTATGCCCTTGTCTCTTTCGTCTTCTTAATGTCCTTCATCTTTCTCCAGAAGAAACCTGAGACCAAACAAAATCCCCAAAAGTCAAATTAAAAAAAAAAGAACATAACCAAAACAAAAAACAAATATTGGGATCTGTTAGTGAACAAGAAGTAGTACTTAACCAGCAGTTTACAATCTGTCAGATTCCCATTCTCTTAGATTTTGATTCCTTTGAAAAATTCCAATTCCTTCCAAAACATTATGGAAACCAAATGTCCCGTTAGTATCATATACTTAGCAAACAAATATATACAAAAAAGGAAAATAAATGAAAACCAAAAGGTTGGAAGGTTTAAACTCGTATAAGATACAAATTTGACAACAATTTATACTTCTGTCTCTGACCCTTGATTTTTTTTAGGCTTTTGCAGTTATAGCTGCATCTCCACTGCACCTAGACCTTTTCTGGCTATGCGATGAAATCTGATAACCCTACAGTGTAATCAGATTGTCATGTTTAACCCCGTGTTTAGTTTTTTTCAGGCCAAACAACACCTTGCCTTGCAATGTTTGGGTGAAATTGGGAGAAGAAAAGATTTGAGCTCACATGCGTACATAGAGAACATAGTACTTGGAAATCTTCCAAAGTACTTGCCATTTATCTTGAACCAGATTGATAATCAGCCGAAAAAACAATATCTCTTGCTTCACTCTTTGAAAGAGGTATCTCCGACTTTATATATTTTTCTTTTAAATTCCATTTCGGATACCAAACATAATGACTTATGTAAATGGTTTAACTGCAATAATTGCAACTTACTATCCATCCTTCTTCCATTTCAATGCTATAATGGGTAGATTTTCTATAATACAATGCCCTTATAAAAAACTGAGTTAAAATGGAAGTATGTTGTTGTTTCTTGCATTTATCTAATCTGTGACTTCAACCAAGATCATTTTAATCTTTTAAGGTGATAGTGAGACAATTTGTAGATAAAGCACAATTTTAAGATTCTAGTGTTGAAAAGATACTAAACTTGCTATTCAACCACTGTGAAAGTGAGGAAGAAGGTGTCTGGAATGTGGTAGCTGAGTGTCTGGGAAAAATTGCTCTGATCAAGCCTTTAAAACTTGTTCATGCCCTCAAGTTACACATATTTTCAACTTTCTTTAATGTTTTTTAAATTAATTAAAGTCTAGTTTTCTTTTTATATATATAAAATTTGTAGGACCGAACAACTAGTCATGTTGCATTCCCCAAGGCAACGGTTGTTGTTGTTGTGAAGTATTCAATAGTTGAAAGACCAGAGAAGATCGATGCAGTGCTGTACCCGGAAATTTCCTCCTTTCTTATGCTTATCAAGGATCAGGATCGCGTAAGTATCTCTATATATGCTGGAATCAGGGGAGGAATGGAATTCTTCATTCCATTGGAATGGGAAGAAAACTTTTTGTTTTGTCTAATTCAACGGAATGGAGAAAACCCTACTCCTTTTTTCCTTATAATTCTATATGTATGAGTTATTAGTATGATCTATTAAATTTTGATAAACATGGGCAACATGTTAGGTGTGCAACTGTTTTGGCTTTGAGTATAGCTGGCCACAACAAGCAAAATCTCATCAAGGGCCTACTTCCAGAACTCTTGCCACTTCTTTATGATCAGACAATTATTAAGGTAGGTATCATATATATTTCTCATAAATCATAATACCCTTGTAGTACTATATGCATATCGATGAAAGTAAATATATATATATATACATATATATATATATATATATATATATATATATATATATATATATATATATATATATATATGGTTATTGACAGAAAGAACTGATATGAACGGTTGATCTTGGACCTTTTAAGCATACAGTTGATGATGGTCTTGAGTTGAGGAAAGCAACTTTTGAATGTGTAGATACATTGCTTGATAATTGTCTTGACCAGTTGAACCCTTCTTCTTTCATTGTCCCTTACCTTAAATCGGGTCTTGATGAAAATATGTTTATATTTCTTGCATTTTACCTTATATTATATTAGTCTTTGTTTGTATTTTCATGAAGAATATGATGAGATGCATTATATTGTTTACATTTTATAATTCAGATTTCCTTGAAGTGGGAAACTCCTCCTCACACTGTGCTTATCTTGACAAACCAAATTCAACTTCAGTCAAAATCCTTTGTGCAGAAATGGTCAGGTATTATGACTTCAATTGTCTTCTTAAAGGGTATTTTTGGCATATGCTTATTAGTCAATCACTTCTGTTAAAGCATATTTCTTTGAGCTTATGCATTACATTGTTGTATATTATTATTTACAATATTTCTTTGAGCTTCTAATATAGTTGGTTGAAGGAAAAGAGAAGTATGAATATATTTGTTGAACCACGAGTAAGAAATGAACTTCTAGAAGAATCTTCATACTTTAACTTTGCACAATCATGGATAGATGGTGAGTTAATTTCATCTACCTTCAACATAGATGCATAAATTTTGTGCTTACATATTGGGATTTGTTGGTCATCCTGTTGGTGCCTCACGTAGGCTTACAGGGATAATAGTTGACAAATCAGTGGAGTTTTCATATGAAGAGCTTTCAAAGGCTACAGATGAATTCAGTCTTTCTAATCAGATTGGTCAAGGTGGTTTTGGTATAGTTTATTATGCAGAACTCAGAGGCTAGGTTTGGAATATTAGTTTTAGATATAACTATATTATTTTATCTCTTAACACATGTTCATCATCTAAACCTGGTATGTAGTATTTCAATTGATAAATATATTTATCAAGATTTTGAGTTGACCATATTTTTTTAACATTTGACTTTATATTTTGCAGGTGCGTTTAATAGGATATTGTGTGGAGGGCTACCTTTTTTTGGTGTATGATGCGACAACCCGAAATTTCTATTCTATACAACCATTCACTTCAATAGAAGTCAGTCTTGTTTTTGCTAACTTTTGAGTTGTTTAGAATCAGTTTGAGTGTTCTAAAGCCTAGTACTGCAAGAGATAACTTGAGAGAGGATACTCTAGGGTTATTGTGCATCAATAAAGTCTCAAAACTCCAAGAGTTTTGAGTTTACGACCCAAACATAGAGTTTACGTCCGTAAACTCTAAGGAGTATAAATATGACACTTAGTCATTTTATACACTTTTTTACCATTTCAAGCCTAGAAACTCATTCTCTCTCAAGTAGCATCCGATTTTCCTTCTTGATCTTCAACTTTGTAAGTGTTTCTTGCCTTAATTAGTTGATATCCTTCATCATCTAGTGATCTTACATGATTTCATCCATCAAATCTCTTCATTTTGTTAGATCTTCAAGTGTTCTTCATTTCACCAAGAACACACACTAGTGTTCTTGGACTTTAAACACCCTTACAAGCTTCTATATTGTAAGTACTCTTACCTTAGCTTGTTATAGGCTTGATACACTTGTTAAGCAACTAGAAAACATCAAGAAACATAAGATCATAAGTGTTTACGGCCAAGGCAATCTCCTTGCGCCGTAAACTCTAATGAAAGGGCCATTGTGAGCCCTAGTCCCTTACTAAGCCTTGGATACAAGTCTAGATCACTTCCTTGTGGAGTATAGGACCTTAAACAAACAAAAGAACCAAGCACACATGAGTTTATGGACGTAAACGCATGAGGAATGGTCCATGGGCCGTAAACTCTAAAAGGTGGTGCAATGGTGCCACAATTACTTCCCAAGGCTTGGACTTGATCATAGTATGCTTAACCTTGACTTGTAAGACCTTAAAACACCAAATGGTAGAAGTTACCATGGGTTTACGGCCGTAAACCCATTAGGACCGTAAACCCTAAACCGTAAACTCATGGAGAGTTTACCCTTGAACCGTAAACTCAAAAGCAAATCCCTACAACCCTCAGATGCAATCCTTGGTACTTATAGCACTTGAATCAAAGTGTTTTCCATGTTTTAGGGTGTCTTAACTTGGTTAATTAGTTGCTAAATGACTAATTGGTTACATATATGTGTCTTTATATGTTAAATAGGATCCGTGTGTGTGTTCAAGTCTTCACTAGACACTTAGCATCCTATACCATCCGTTCTTCCAAACCACTCACTACAGGTGAGTTCATACCCCTTAATCTATCTTTCAAATGATTTTAAATACTTCTATGGGGGGGAATACAAGTTGAAACATTATAGTTATTATATAAATCACATGTGATTAATAACTATCAAACAAAGGATTTGCTATTCAATTAGCTGTTTTAACAAACAAAACTACTTCAAATGGTTATCAAATACTTTTTCATGTTAAATACTTTTTATTCAAACTCTTTTAAACTTATACTTGTTCAAATTCATATCTATATAGATATAGTTATATAAGTGGGATTGAAAGGACTTAGGACTGATAGTTTGCCTTACTTCCTGTTGCTTGTTTGGTTGTGGACTTAGGGTATCGGTTATTTGTACGAAGGTCGTTTGAATCTTGGTTATATATTATGTATATGTGTATAGATATAAAGGTTCCTTCATTCAGTTCAATACCTTTGGGTAGCAAAGGTATACAAACATGTTCATTTATACAAACAACATTGCTAGTAAACTATAATAGGTATAGTTTAGGAAGTTACTAATACTATTACTAGAACAGTGAAACGTACAATGAGTCAGTTCATACATGAGTCACTACATACTATGATGAGAAACAAACATAACATACAGATAGATAATATTATGATGAGAAACAAACATAACATATAGATAGAGAATACTATGATGAGAAACAAACATAACGCACTATGATGAGAAACAAAGAATAACACACAGAGAGAACATACATACATACTAGACAGAGAGAGAACATACAATACAGCTAGTACACACATTACATATACAAGAACATTACAACAGTTATGTGAGCCACGTAACGGGGCATGGCATCACCTGTCATGGCTCGTTTTGTATCCAGAGTCCCCTACAAGGATAGCGTTGAATTTGTGTATAGATCTATATTGGATTGACTATCCTACACCTTGCTGCTCGCTACAGTGGGACTTGCAAGTCTATGGGTGCCAAATGTCATTTCTTCTGACGTCTTTCATCGTCGTGTTTTTAGTCGGTAGTATGGTACAGGCATATCACATGTTACTTTAAATAACAAATTGGTTTAAGGTAATTAGTACAGCAGTAGTTACTTAATACAACACTACAGTACTTTATTATTTCCCCATTGCATTCACCTTGTGACCTTCACACAATGAACGGTAATGTAAAAACTATATTTTTGGTTAATGATAGTCATATTTTGGAAAATACACACTTTTACGAGAAACAAACACACATTACATTTGATGCCTTAGTAGAAGGCTACGTTTAGTAGGAAATATAGGATTTTCTAGGAGATACACACATTTACAAACATTTACAAACAATTACAAACTTATACATCAACTACATACTAACATTTTCATACAAACAAAGACACTAAAATACTTATGAACTCACCAGCTTTAAAGCTGATCAACTCTTTCAAAATAACTTGTATTCTCAGGTCATCAGTAGACAGGTACCGATGCCAGGCTTTTGAGAAAATGGAGCTCATTCAAGACTTATCTCATATTTTGATTTACTTTTTGGTGTCTATTAAACTTCACAGAACACACTTGTATTAAATCATATTATTAATGCAATGGATGATGTTGTTGCTTGTTTACTACTATGCATTGTTGTGATACTGTACATGACGTCCTCCACCCCTGAACGTTTCCGCCGTTCCGGTTTTTGGGTGTGACAGATTGGTATCAGAGCATTGTTTATAGTGAATCGAGTATATCAACCCATAAAAGATATACAAACTAAAAACACAACGGGATTAAAATACTCTGACCAAGAGTTTATACTTTTAAATAATAAAATATTTAACCAAGTATACATACCTGCATTGATACTAAAATCAGTGTCACTAGGACAGAACAAAAGTATTACGATTGTTGGGCAACACAATTAGACTTAGAGACCTATATTCAACCCTGGGAAGATATAGCCTGATCAACTATATTATCCGAGGAGTGACTAGCATGTGCCTAAGGATGGTTGTGAGGTTGCAACAAGTCTAAAAACTTACCAACACTACTACAATGAAAACAATAGAACAGAACATAAACTTAAAATACTATAGTTTTATTTTGTGTTACTATGAATACTTATCTGAGAATTAAAGATCTTTATCAGTAGGTCAATAATTGCTAAGAGGATACGCTTAGGTTATATGTAACTACGATGTTATAGACTTAGAATCTGTGATCTTTGCTTTACTTCCTGTTCCTTGTTTGGTTGTGGACTTAGAGTTAGGGCCACTTATTCGAAGGTCTATCCTGTTTTGAGTACATATAACTGGTATGCACTAAACAAGTATTGAAGTAATTGATAAAGATCATATTATAATTATCTAATTAGTGCGTCTATTTAGTTATATCTTATACCCCTTTTCTCGCGTAGATATCATGGCTGGATTCCATCTTCCTGGAGATCCATACTATCCCAACAACGGCAATGCTGGATGGCTTGAAGAAGAGCCAGAAGATGATCATCCAATCCCTTTGGATGATCACTATGCTGAAGGCTTTTCTGATGGTTCTGGCTCAGAACCTGAAGTCAACAACCTACCCCCAGTAGCTCCAAACCCAAACCCTCGTCTAGCATTTCAAGGACTCAGACCTCTGTGGGCCACAAACTTGAACAGATGGAGTCAGGAACAGGGTCAACCCATTCCCTACAATGGGGACAGAAGCTTTTACAACTTCACCGAGGGAGGTTCAGTTGATCGTGTCCTGCCCATCATGGTCCGTAGGATTTCTCGGAACACCGAGCAAGGTCGAGCAACTATCGACCGAGTGGTGGAGATTGACGCCAACTCTGGCGTTAACACGGTCTGCATTCGCCAACTCGAGGTAGCTATGGAACAGTTAGAATAACCAGTAGGACCTTGCAGCAACAGCTAGCTGCATCCCAATCTGAAGTCAGGGAACTTCGAGCTCAGCAAGTAAGATCCGAAAGGCGCATGAGGGACATAGAACGCCTTCTGTCAGAGTCAAGAACTCACTCTAGGACCTGTTAGGTCTTGATTAGGTTATAGTTCTGTCAAAATTTTCCCATCTTGGTTGATGTAAGACCTACTTCTAGGTCATTTTTCCTGAACTCGTTACATTTGTAATTCCAGTATTATTGACAGATATCTAATCTCATGGAAATTATTATCCAACTGCTATAATCTTTTAGTACTAGATCTACATTCAATCGTGCTATTCAATTGTGTTGATGGGCTATGAAGAGTTAGTCCATGAGTCACTCTCATCAATTATCCTTATTAAATTCTTATCAATATCTTCATCTTTCTAAACCTATAGTTAAAAGATGCCTCCACGCCGATCAACGAGACGCAATCCTCCATCAACTGCAACGCCACCTACTCCTCAAATTGATACGGCAACACTAAATGTTGTAGTAGTTGCGGCTGTGGCAACAGCCCTGGCTCAATATCATGCTTCCGGTTCTACTGGAGGAGGAACCCCTGTTCAATCTACTCATGGTGAAATCCATGTGCGCTTGAGAGAGTGCTCCTACAAGGACTTCACCAACTGCAAGCCACTGTCCTTTAAAGGGACTGGCGGAGTCATTGCCCTCTCGCAATGGTTCGAAAA